GCCCCGACGGGGGGGCTAGTGGAGCGAATCGAGTCTCACTTGGCTGGGGGCCTGGGAGCCGCCGAGGCCCCCGGTGGGGGTCCAGGGGGCGAAGGCCCCCTGGAAGCCACGGGTATTTGATGAATTATGGCGATTTTTTATTACTTATTTGATAGGCATCGAGTTACTATAATATGACTTCATGCAGGCTATGCTTTCTAATGTTGAAATCAGCTTCCAAAACCAAAACATTTTTAATAAAGCAAGAAACAAAGAGTATGCAATGTAGCGATCTAACTTATTTTCAATCCTCATTCTTGAAAGTGAAATTCTATATTTTGGAAATTTTGCATTAAATCTGTCAACCACGCTGTCATGGTCGAGGTTGCTTCATATCACGATGTATTCCAACAATCATTAGGCTATCTAAATGAGCATTTGTCATAACAGAACGCAAATTATTTTTAATTAGTCTCATTGAATTATTATTATTATTATTATTATTACTGTTGTTGTTGTTGTTGTTGTTGTTGTGATGAAAAGTTAACACAAACAATATGGTGGCTAAACGGATATTACATTTAAATATATTTTTTTATTTGTTTGTTCCCCGACAAAATATATCGTCTTCCCCGGGGTGGGGGGCATAAGCTTCCCCCAGGTGGGGTTAGGCTATAGCGTCCCCAGCCCCCTCTGGCGCCACCACTGCAACGAAGTGCTCATGAATAGATCCGAGCAGTGGAAGGTATCCTTCCTTAGTGAAATCTTGGACAAAACAGTCTAGGCTAGCATAAATAAATTTTTATTTCCACATAAAATAACAAATGAAATTACTAGATACTGTATAAGAAAATCAGTACCAATAATAATTAGCTTCCTTAACTTAACACAGTTTCTCACGATTGTTGAAAAAAAATAGGCCTACTTGAGTGAAAGTTATCAAAGACATATGTGCAATTCCACCAAACAGCACATAACGTTGTTCTACTCGACCAGCAAACATAGAATCATCGGGATCACTTTAATAATTAGCCAAGTTTTAGTTGTTACACTAGTGGGTCTGCTAACTAAAGGATAGAATGAATTTTCTAACATTGTACTAATAAATTCTGATGTTTTTTCATGCAAGTTAGACATTAGGAGGTCAATCTTAAAATCGCCACAGATGCAGTTTTATTTTCATTATTAATGGTTTCCAGTAATTTTAGCATTTATTAGGCTGATTGGTAATTCCTGTAAACGATAAATAACACCTAAAATTATATTTTTTGGGTTTTGCATCAATTTCTATTTTTAAAAATTCGGAATTTTGAGAGATAAATAAGAAATAGAAATAAGGTCATATCTTTGAGAGTATTGTAATCTCTGGCCAAGGTATACAGCAATGCCACCTTCCGATCTTTCTGTTCTTGAAGAGTGAAGTAAATTGTAACCTTCAATTTTGTAAAAAGAGAAATTTGTTTTTAAAGAGTTAAACAAAGTTTCAGTGAAACAAAGAGCTGTAAAATTGTGGGATAAGGCACTAACAAATTCAGTAATTTCAGGAAAAAAAATGTTTAACAAGACTACGTGAATTTAGATGGAAGATGCTAAATTAAGGATTAATACTAACAAAATTTGAAATAAAACTATCAATTAGTTCAGAATTGCATTTGACATTGTCGATAATGAGCTCGTCTATCGCATATTAGACCGTTTAATTTCAGATCAAATGGATTAAACTTAAGAAAATTTAATTTGTTGAAATAAAGTTTGTGATCAAGAAAAAAGAAATTTATTTCATGCACAAATTCACTATCATCATGAAATATACTGTTAAATGGAAAAATCACATCTTTACAGTGACATGCAAATCCATTCTGTGGATGGGGTACATGGAAGATGTGCCACGGATTTTACAAGCAAATGCATTTAATGTAACCAGTTTTTAAGTGTTTCAAACACAAACTACATACCATTGTTAAATGATATCGAGATTGATTAAAAAATACAAGAGGATCTGCCTAAAATTAATAAATGAAAACAAACAAAGACATAAATGATGGTTAAATAAGAAAAGTGTGTACACAAGTAAATAAATGTATGATGTAGTAGTACACCACAAAAATAAAAGTAAAACAATACAATACATAATTTAATAACAGATATAGCCATCATTTTATTGTAACGGATGAAGAATGTAGTATATACAATTTGCACCGCAAAAGTAACCTTCCTTTCGACTTCAAAATATGATTATGAGAAAATAAAGAAAATGCCTGAAATTCTGATAACGGAAACGAGTAGGTGATATTATTTTTTGTTTAGTTAGCCTTTCGAGAAGAGTGGGCCCACCCAAGTGAAATCAAACAGATTGAATGGTATATTGATATTGGTATTTGCATTAGGCCTACTTTAATTAGTTTATTCAGCGGCGGTCATTTCACTTTGTAAAAAGGAGAAATCTTATTCTATTTAATTTATAATGTTTACAAAGAACAGTATTGCCTCGATTTATACAGGATTGATAAATTCAACTGATAACAAGAAACAAATAAATGTGAGAGACGTAACTTACAGGAACTGAATGACCAAATTGGGATAGTGAATTGATTGTAGACCTAAGCCAACTTACGTCCGGGTATAAAACAAATGTTAGGCCTACGTAACAATTTTTTTCTCCACAGTGACAGTAAACATTTAAACTGGACATAATTGCTCAAGGAAATATCCTTGTATTTCCAGAATGGATTTTATTTTCAGTGTTTTTATCACGCAAGTATAGGCCGAATATATATACTTTAAAAAAAATAAATATCTGATATTTCTATTAAATTAAAACGAACTGTCTAGGCATTGTTCCACTAATAAAATATTCAAAAAGCATATTGTTAATTCTTTTTTTAGAGGGTGTGACACTAATATCCAAAAATGATCAGACACAACTTGATAAAGGAATAGTCCATTGAATTGGGGGTTGCTTAGTCCCTTTCCCTGGATTGTGTTGCTGAGTTCAGAAACCGACAGCGTAAACGAATGTAAACTTCTGCGTTTATCGGACATGCATGTTTTCTTCATTATTTCAATTAATCAGTTGTCAAAAAACCCAAGCGAAGAGACCCGCTTTGTACTTGAACCATGATCATTACCCACAAGTGCCTTGAGTATCTGATAAATAAATGTATTCTGCACTTTACTATAACTTAATTTTTGTGCTTTAAAATGTTCATTATATCAGAAATTATGCTGATTTTTTTTTTTTTAATAATAGCATTTGCTCTGATGTCAACGGTGTCTTCTCAGATTCAAATACCACTTTCAAACAGGTCTTTCAGCTCAGAAGAGGTAATGGCAAAGACAGCAGCCGAGGACGAAGACAACTTCTACGGAGGTATTTAACTCAACAGAATAGATTAATTCGTTATTTTATGAACGCCTTTTTCTTTAGGTACGAAGCACTTCTGTCCCTGGTCATTGGGTCCCCGTGCTTAAGTGTGCTGCTCTTCAGCGCAGGAGCAGCAAACTTACTCATGTGGTACACTGGTACCCATTTAAACATCTGGGTGGAAGGAAGCAATGTAAAGAGAAAGTGCCTTGCTCAAGGACACAAGCGACGTGCAGCGAGACTGCAGAAACACAAGGTTGGGAAACCAAACCATTCCCTCTGCACCAAACCTCTTCTAAAATTTCTACACCCAGTGTAAAAATTATCTATAAAAAAAAATATCATCTCTACTTTACTAATTCAGTTGGGGTTGATGTAGTATGCAACTAGGCCTCTGTAATACAATTCAGATACAAAACATAATAATTTTTCATTGGTCTTCATACATGAAGAGTACAAAGAAATATGGCCTTAGCATTTCAGTTGAACTTTTACCTAGTGCTAAAACAACAATAATAATTATGAGTTTCAAATGATGATGACTTACTTAATCTAATGTCATCTAAATACGTTACTCTGTACTTGTGGGAGACATAATAATTAGTCGCCACGCACTCTCCCCTAATAATAAATACCGTATACTAGTAGCTTTCGATTGCACGATGACGGTAGGGCGTAGGACGTAATGTCGTCACCAAAAGTCATCTGCGCATGCGTTAACGTTGAGTTCACCTCGTCGAGTAAATTCTGGAACGCAACGTAGGACGCCAGGTAGGCTTGTATTTCTTTAGTACTTAAATCATGATCAAGTAATTAAAGTCTTTCTACTTTTCGGGTTACTAAGGAAAACTCTGAGGCTTATTAAAAGAATGATAATAGAGTTTAAAAATGTTATTACATGAATAATGTATCTCTTGTAAATTGCCACGTACATTTTGTAATTTTATATTTTTCATTTTTGGTGTTACTATTTCTGCATTCATTTATCCTAGTCTTGGTCATACATAAATGATACGAATAAAATAATATAGCCTTAGCATTTTAGTTGAACTCCTACCTAATATTTAATACAACAATACAATTTGAGATGCGTTTCAAATGGTAATGAATTTACTTAATCTAATGTCATCTAATGACATTACTCTGTACCTTTGGAGGCATACATTAGTCGCCACGCTCTCCTAAAGAAAAAAAAACATCTTTTTCAGCGTCATACGTACAAGGCTAGTATTTTTTTTAGCATCTTAAACATGAACAGGTAAAGTCTTTCTACTTCTTATATTCTATAGACCTGGTTAAAAGAATGATAATATAGCCTAAAAGTGTTATTTACATGAATAATGTTTCTCTCTAATGTAAATTGCAACATTTTGTAATTTTTCATTTTTACTGTTACTATTTTTGCATTCGTTGGTCATCATACATAAATGGTACAAAGGAAATAATATGGCCTTAGAGCATTTCAGTTGAACTCCTACCTAATATGTAAACAACAGTAAAATTTGATATGAGTTTCAAATGATGATGAATTACCTAATCTAATGTCATCTAATGACGTTACTCTGTACTTATGGAGACATAATAATTAGACATCACGCTCTCACCTCAAAAACCTTCTTTATCAACGGTCTTTTTTATCAATGGTACAAGGCTTGTATTTCTTTAGTAATATTATCAAGCGAAGTCTTTCTACTTTTTCTGTTCCTAAGGAAGAACTCTAAAGGCTGGTTAAAATAATAAGAGTGTTTAAAAATGTTATTCATGAATAATGTATCTCTTTATTGTAAATTGCAACAATTTGTAATTTTATTTTCTTTTTCTTTCTTTTTTTTTTTTTTTTTTTTTTGACTATTTCTGCATTCATTGTTCTTATACATAAATGGTACAAAGAAAATAATATAGCCTTAGTATTTCAGTTGAACACCTACATAATTACTTAATTACTGAGCTTAAAAGTATTATTGTATGGATGATGTACCGTATCTCTTTACTGCGAATTGTAGCACTTGAAACGTAGAATCAATTATGGCCTTACTCACGTTTGTCGTTTTTCGGAGTTACCAAACTCATATTTTATTAGCGAATAATTAGTGGATCCTTTGGTTTTTGTGAATTTCTATTTTCTGTTTTTCATTTATTGTTACTTTTTTCATTCTGACACTTTAAACAAAAAGCTGTTGTTTTCCTGTTTGATGAGGACACTACTGAATTACCATTGGAAGTTAAATACCGCATACGCCTATCTCATACTCTTACGGATTTTGGAACTTGGTATACCAATGAGGTCTACCCACCATTTGAGGAAATAGGACCAAGGGTCATCAAGTAAGTTTATTTACTTATATTATAATACTTTAACATTAGCGTAGCTCCACCGACAAGGAGTATTTAAACACCCGCTGTTTTATTCAGTACCGGTATTTTGTATCAAGCTCAGGGCGGATTTATGTAGTGCTGTATAGTTTATTATAAAATCATGGAAAAAAAAAACCAATACAACTACTTTACGGAGATTGATGTATAATCATCTTCGTTGTTGAACGTGGCAACGGATAATTAAATTCCTCTTTTTTAACGTTTGTGCATTTACACATCTTGCAGCATTGCTGCAAGACGTTTTATATGGTTATCTCTATCATATTGAATGCTTGCACATATAATCATGTGTCCTTGTTTCTATAGCTACACATGATAACTGAAATCTCATCAACGTTTGTATCCAAATGTACGTTATAAACAGTCTATAAAATGTCAAACTAATAAGGAAGTGTTTTGCATCTGCTTTTTATCGAATCACTTCCATCGTGAAAGCTGGCTTAATTTATACAGCAAATTACGGCATATTCTAATGGGATCACCGTTGAAGGAACTGTTGCCTAGCAACTGTGTGATACACATTAAAAATGATTAAAATATGAAGCAATATTTAAGCATATACCAAAATTCAATTTATATTGTAAAAATTATGGCTTAAAATTGTATACAATGATTTCTTTTCTTGTTAGCGACTACAAGAACAGATTCTTAAGCATTCAGTTCGCATTGGATCGTGTCATCACGATTGCTCAATCCGTAAACCATGATCCAATCAAGGCTGCAACATTAAGTCTCCAAATGCAGGTATTTAAATTTATTAACTGTTATATTTAGCCATGATTAATATATTATGAATTCTCTATCTAAAAAAAAAAAAAAACACGTTATGGAAAGATATTCATTAGGCCCTATTATTAATACAGCACTACTGTTGATATGCACGTCGTCATTATGTACTGTATTACATTAATGATAATCAGACAAAAGCCACCAGGCCATGGATTGTAATATTTTCAAAATTGGGTTGGACAATAGTACTTGAATGTTGATGTCTTTTAATGTTTTAAATTCTCTATAAGTGACTTATATATGTTTAATGTATACATGTATATCATTTTGTTTTGATATTATACTGTATCATGATTATTGCAATAAAATTGAAAACAATTCAGCTAATACAATAAACAGTATCATTAACAAGAGCAATTCATGAAAACACCCTTTGTCAGACATAGCCTATTAGCTGATCACTTCTGTAGCTTTTGTCGTATAATAATAATAATAATATTTAATATTTGTATGATGTTGTTTGCTTATGTCAATTTACCTTGATATTTGCATTTATATGATTCATACATTTGTATCATCATTATTTTTAAATTATACTGTATTATAATTATTGTAATACTGTTGGGAGCAATTCAATCAATAAAATAAACAATATCACAAAAAAGAGCAATTCAAGAAAACACCCCCTGTCTCATATTTTTGCAGCAATTTCCGTACCCAGACTACAGGGAAGACGTCTTCATCTCAACCATTCAGTTCCTGTTACCCATTCTCATGGTTCTAGCTTTCATTTATTCATCTGGAACCATTGTAAAGGTTTGTATTCTTAAGCCCTGAATTCAGACTATCAAATTGCATTTGACAGAAACATGTGGCATGCCAAATATACGTTATTACAAAATATGTTATTACATGCAAACCTTCAAACAATGCCAAAAATATGGTCATGATGATACCACATAATGACCAGATATATAGGCACATTATGACATGAAAATAAACAAGATTTTTGACAGAGCTGAAAACATACATCAGCATCAATCAACAATATTATCCACATCTTGCCAGTTGCTGAAAACACTTTTAAAAAGACATTATTCAATATGGCTCAATAAAAAATATTAAAATATTAAAACTAAAAGATATGACAAATACATACTGCATGAGTTGAGTAATTACATTGAGAAGGTATTCACACTGAGAAAGTAGTTGCATTGAGTTTGAATTAACTACGGTACGTTTCAAGGTATATGACATGGAAGGAGAATAATGAACGATTTAAAGTTATGTTCCGGAGGAAAAAAATGATATATTGTACAACTGATTCTTCTAGGTCATCTATCTATTTATGTTACCTATATGCATTATTAGTCTTTTTATAATAGTAAATTTATATCTAAGGGCTGTTTTTTTGTAGTGTACAGGAACGTATTCTGCAATTTTCAAATCGATGTCCTTGTTTGCTTGTATTATGGATAACTTGTCTCTCACTATGTGCATACTGCGACTTGGACTGTTTATTGGCTTTCTGTAAACTAATTGGATGAATTTACTCGCAAATATTAGAAAACCTGGTGTTATTAAGTTTTAAACTTAAAATAAATATTTGTTTTGTTTTTTTAATTAAATAATGACGAGGGTGACATTTTATTATATTTTGCGTAATTTATATTATGTTTTTTTTAAATATTTGTGAGAAAGTTAAGTAAGAAAATGAATGATATAATTGTGTTTCTATTTCTTATTTAGAAGTATTAATATGTCCAAAATAATAGTAAAATAATTTAATAATTAGAAATTAGCATAGATCATGTCGGCTTGCATTGGTTTCTATCATTCTGTCTTATATGAAAATGCTTATCATCTTTAGGAACTCGTAATTGAGAAAGAAACTCGTTTGAAGGAGAGTATGAAGATGATGGGGTTGGCCAATTGGATCCATTGGTTGGCCTGGTTTGTCAAGTCCTACACATTTCTTCTCATTTCTACCATACTTATTGTACTACTACTTAAGGTTTGTGAAAATATATTATTGTCATAGTGATTTATTTGTATTTTTAAAATGGGATATACTTAATGTGATTGGATGATGTCAAATATGAATTAATCTCTTCCGGATTTCGACATTAGACAGAAGATGAAAATTATTATCATATTTGTAAGTATCACCCGTGAAACGCTTTTATTAAGCTATAATATCTCATTATATATATATATATAATATAATATAATATATATAATATATATAAATCATGTTAAGCTGTACTGAAGATATATAAATATAAACAATTGGTAAATGATAGAAACAGGGCTCTTTTTTAGGGACAAAATTAATGATGTTATAATCGTATTGTTGTGTGATGACAAGGCGAGCGTCATATCTCATACCACGAAGACCTATCAGTATTGTCACAGGTTCTATCCAGCCAGATACACTTTAACGAACAACTGTATAAAGAGAATATAAAGGAATGATTCTAATGTCTATTTGCATATCTAACCATTTGTATGTAAATGTAAAAATATCGCAATTACTTAATCAATTCGAATATCTGAAGCATATTGTTTTTTTTGTTCTTTTTTTTGTTTTTTTTGGTTTTTTTTTTTTGGTTTATTTATTTTTTTTTTTGGTTGACAAACTGTTGAACAAGCCTGTGTTACTTATGATACATTGAATCAATTATTAAACTGCCTTTTAATACAACATCCGGGTTTGGAACACAAAATGTTCTTGTTCTTTAGTGGTAACTTGTCTGTTTTTTTTTAAATATTTTTCAGTTCGGTAAAGTGTTTGAGTATAGCAACGGGATAGTGCTGCTTTTGTTTTTTATGCTATGGATGTTCGCCAGCACCATGTGGAGTTTTATGATCAGTGTGTTCTTTTCAAAATCCCGCTTAGGATTTATTTTTGGATTAATTCTTTGGTACCTTAACTATTTACCAGTACAATTCTTGGACTACAATAAACAATCAGCGTAAGTAAAACGAATATATAAAAATCTTAAAAGTGATATAAATATTATTGTTATTATCTAAACGATTTGTTTCCATACAATCGCTACACTGTCGCTACAGTGTTTTCAGTTAGCAGTCCCCGACGCAATTGAAGAGATTCCCCGATTCGACCGACCAATTAGCATCACCGAAGCTGTCGGCAATAGCGTGTAGCAATTGTATGGAAACCAAGCTTAACTGTAAAATTGAGCTAATAGCTTTAATTACCTACTTTATATTAGTTCTCAATTAAATTTATTTATACGTATAGGGTTACTTCTAATAAAATAAAATAAAAGTAAAAAAATATAATCATACACACCAACAGAACTGCCAAAAAGCACCGTCCTTGCAAAAGAGTGTTTGTAAGAATGTTGGTCATATGTGACCCAAGACCATAAAACGGCTGTAAACTCGCATCAACAGGTTTCGAGAAAAAGGGCCAAATAGACAGTATAACATGTAATTTGAGCAATGTGATTATGTCGTAAATATACACCTAAATGAAGGAAATCCTTGAAACTGTTTCATGACTTGTTGATAAAGATTTGGGAAACAATCCTCTTGCCCTCTAGAACGAGGCGCCATTTGGGACATTTATCTCTTTAAATAGGCATTCTGTTACTACAGAAATAATTATGTATCACAGAATTATTAATAATAATAATTATTACACACAGTATACACACTGGGAAATTCGGACTGGGTCCCCGGGGACCGCGGCTGCCATAGCTCGGCGCAAACTACCCCACTTACTCCACAACATGAAACGGTCACAGACTGATACATACTTAACTCTTCTTCGAGGAGCGGAGTGTTATTATTATAAAAGACTCGAATTCAATACTCGATGGAGAGCCGGGTATTGAACCCGGGCCTTGGCGTGCAAGAGGCAGGAGCCTTACCAATTAGCCAAACGCTCAGCTTATTACTGAAACTATTCTGTGTACAGTATTAATTTTGTGTTTACAGAAATAATAATGTGACAGTAATAATTCTGTGGATTACTGTCAAATTATTATGTGTACATAATTAATTCTGTTGTTACAGAAATAATTATGTACCACAAAATTATTACTGTCACACTATTATGTGTACATAATTAATTCTGTGGTAATACAGAAATAATTATGTACCACATAAATTACAGAATTAAATATGTACCACATAATTATTTCTGTAACAACAGAATGCCTATTTAAAGACATAATTAGTAGTGTCCCAAACGGCGCCCCGTACCTGGCAGTGAAGCGGGCCAGAAATGACGTAGATTGCGGTTGAGTACATGTTAAGAAACTAGTCGTGGTTATTGAAGCTTTTAAAAATATTGAGACCAACAAAACAATCATCTGCACTATTTTCAGCGATGTAAAACTAAAACGTATTGATGAAGTATATTCACACAACGTCATTTAAGTCGTATACAAAACAGTTAAACAACTTGAAAGAATCAAACAATAACGTGCGTATCGACATTAAAATTGCTTTAGAAATATATCTTCAAAAGTAATTTTCTAGAGCATAGCACCATGGTACGGACTATATTTACTGAATGAAGAAAATAACCTGCCTATGTTGTTTTAGTTAGACTCTACCCTTCCCAGTCGGAAAGATCAGACCTGATACCGTCGACATGGCGGCACCACTGGGTACACATTAATAGTATTGAGAATAGTGTAACGTTGCTTTCGTTCTAGGTGGGAGAATGCGCTATATTTAAACAACCATTAAATTTAACATTTAGTATAATTTAGCATAATTTACCATCAGCCCTTGGCATAATTTGATTTGGATCACTGGTCACAAAGAAAGGTATAGGCCTAGGCCTAGCATTCAATTAAGTATTGCGGACGCATAAACGCTAAATGTTTTGATTTTAAAGAAGATAGAGAGTAGTTAATTTGATCTACCAGGATTTTAATGATAGAACCGGTAGTTCGAATGGAGGAATTATTGTCTTGCTTAAACAGCTTACCACTTACCCGTGCTACAATGTAGCTTGTAACAATAGAAATCCTGATCATTTTACTTGTAAATACTTGCATAATTCTGAAAATGTTGTATTTTTTAAAAATGTTTATAAATTTATGAAACAAATCCGGTTCCCACACCCCCACCCCCATAACCCATCCCGTTACTTTTTCATCCACACCCCGACAAAACACTCTCTCTAACAAGGCTTGACGAATAAAACACGTGTTATGTCTACTAAATTCATCAGAACAATATGGATGCCATCAGTACGTGGATGTTTCAGCTTTATAAAAGTGTAACTAATTTCCCCCAGGGTATCACTAATTAACTCCCTGGGGTATCGACTTAAAAGTAGCAGATTTCTGTTCCCCAACCTATTTCCAGCAAATCGTAGAAAATTTCATCGTAATAGCTCAATGGGAACTGTGTCTTTGCTGAGGAGTTTCTTTGACTGCTGCTGTGATTTTTCTTCACTTTCTTCAGTACTTTCAAAGCCCTTTTGCTCAGAACTTTATAGGCCAGTTTATAAAGAGTAATTGTAATTTAAAATAGCTTAACTTCACACATAATTGTTCCATTAAGGTCATTTAGCTCTCATTATAAAGTTAATGATGTGCTCTATTCATTTACATTAAAAAAAACAACATTTTGATAGAGTACGAGTTTACAGCCTTTTTGTGATCTTGGGTCACATATAAGCATTTATGCATTTCAACGGTCCAGGAATACAACTATGAGTTGAGTACAAGCAACGAATTTAGAATATATTATTGTCTTTACCACGTAAACTGTTTACCAGTGAATGTAATTTTCTGTAATTTGAGAGATATAGTTACTTATTTATGCAAATTGAACTCAGTAGTATGAGGTGTGTCTATTTTCAGAACTATAAAGACACTTGCTTCACTCTTGTCTAATACGAACATGGCGTTTGCAATGAATATCTTCGCACGATATGAAAGTCGGGGAGAGGGCATCAGTTGGGAAAACATTAGCGTAACCCCATCGCCAGGTGACAGTTTCAATCTAGGCGTATGCTTTATCATGCTTATGGTGGACAGCCTTATCTATTTTCTGATCATGTGGTAAGTCTTATGTCTTCTGGTATAATATATATTACTGCTTGTGGTACACCACGTAGATAGTTCTGAAAAGAACTGTTGTTGGTTGGTTGAGAATATATCTATTATATATGTATATACAATACAATGCAATATACGTTATTTGCAACTAAAACAGTTGAATTGCACATACAAAAGGAATTTAAATATATACATATATAAATATACATATATATATACATATATATATATGTATATATTATGTGTGTATGTATATATATACATATATATACGTATATAAATGATTTATATGTATATATATAACATATATGAATATTCAGCTATATATAAGATATAATATATTTCATTTATATTTTTAATATTGTTGTATATATATATATATATATATATATATATATTATTCAGAATAAAGAGATTGAATGAATGAATATATATTAGTTTAAAATTTATCCATATGATCACTATACGATTAAAGTTCTGGTTTTCCGGAAAAACAAAATGTTACAAGAAGTAGAATGTTATAATTATAATAATTACCAAAAAAAAGGATAAATAAACAATCAAAATACTTGTTAGGAAACAAGTAATTTTGACTTAAATAATTTGGAATTTTTCTTAATAGGTATGTTGAACAAGTGTTTCCAGGACAATACGGTATACCGCAGCCCCTGTATTTCCCCCTTCAAAGGTCCTACTGGTTTGGACCATCAGCGCATGGAGCGGATGTCAATCCAAATTTCGAAAACGGAGTATGCTATTTATTTGTTTAAACATTTCTTTCTTTCTTTAAACACATTGTTGGTCACGAATAATTCGGAAACCATATAGATATTGTTATTTGGTTCACGCACAAATGATATATAAAGATTTCAATAGCTCGTTAGCATTATATTATCGAAATATGTTTTCAAATATACTTATTGGATTCTTCCCACCAAGTTATCAGTAATTTGGTGACATTTCCAATACAGTTTCAAGATTTTCATTATGAAGTAAAATTGATAGTTGTTTATGGTACACGACGTAGTTCAGTTTTGGAAAGTACTGTTGTTTTTTTCTGAACATTGTAATGATTTTCTCTCAAATTGTCAATATTCTCCAGATTGCAATGGAAAGAATAAGTAAAAAGAATCATGAGGAGGCACCAAATTTAGAAGTTGGTATCGACATCAAGAATCTACGTAAAGTTTACAAGGTATACCGTATTTGAAGACTCTTGAATTATAATCGAACTAGCTTGATATGTTCAGTTTAATTGAATAGACCTTTCCGGAGTGTCAATCAAACTTAACAACTGACTAATCAGAACAACGCTAGGAATACGCGCGCGTCTTACAAACACACGTGTTGTCCCACAAACGCACGTGTTTGCGTATGTTTTAACATTGTCGTCTTGTGGGACCTTAGCAACAATATCCAATGGGCGGGGCTTAGCGGAAAGGTCAATTACACTCTCATGTTGTCACTCTACCCTTTTCCCTTATACAGCTACAGCAACATACTTAGTGGTTTACCACTTAGATAATTTAAAAAATGAAAGAGAATATATGTACTTTAAACGATAAACACAGGAAATTAAAATTCCTTCAGTCACATTTCATTACTGTTTAAATCCCTGTCCAGACTATCAAATTTTATTGGACAAAATCATGCGACATGCGTAATATGGTAAACATGACATCACACCATGACCATATATAGGAACATCATGGCTATATATATGGGGATACAGTTAGTCTTGACAGGGCTTTAGCTTTAAAATCACACATTTAAAAGATAACTTGAACTTTAAAAATTGTATATTTGAATTGTGTTTGTATATTTGATTATAGTTCCATAAGCTTTTCAATTAAACATTAGAAAGAGATTTAATTTATCCTCTTCAATTCAGCTTGTGTTTCAAGATAATAAATGTGACACCATAAAATGTAATGTTGAATAACTTTGTATTTTTTGTTAAGTTACATAAGCTGTTATTTAAAAATTTGAATAAGAAAAGATTTAATCATCAGTTCTCAGAAGCATAAGCAATATTATTGAGGTTTTGAGTTCAAATTTTAACCTGTTTAGGCCACATACAATTAATGGCTATTTTCACATCCCCGCCCCATCAAATTGTGGAACCTCATGAACATATTTACTATTTGATGTTTTCCAAATATACAATAATTTTTCTAATGCTTGGAAAATAGAAGGCCTAAGAATATTAATTTATATAATATAATAATAAAATAAAATAAAATTAATATTTATATTAATTTTAATTCTTTTATAAAAACATAATTATGATTTACCAGCCTGTTTACCACTATAGGATATTAAATATTAAATACAGGTCTCTCCAATAGGACAACTTATTTTACGGCCACAAATTAACAAATATCTTTTATCGGTATTATTCTAATAAGAGAAAGCTGCTAAAGACCATGAAAACCCCGGTCCCAAAAGTTGTCTTATCTTCTACCACTGTTTCTTTAAAGGTTTGACAGGTTTAACTCTCACAGCATAAACTAAAATAGGTAAATAAAGACAATTTGACGTAATAAAGAGAACTAAGTAACCAGTTAAACTGCATTTCATACTACTACAAAGAAAGTGGAGATAATAAATAGACTGACAAGATACATGAGATCTCATCTAAAGTACAGCAGGAGAGGCAATGACTGGAAGAGAATAAAATTAATAAATACAGATTGAAAACAAACACAATTTTATTTTCCAGAGTTCTGTTGGCAAGAAGCTTGCTGTAGATGATTTATCTCTGAAGATGTATAAAGGTCAAATCACTTCTCTTCTCGGTCACAATGGAGCTGGCAAAACAACTACGATGTCTATTTTGACTGGTCTCTTTCCTCCTACCTCTGGCACTGCCAATATCAATGGGAAGAGCATAATAAACGATATTCAATCTGTGCGTTCAAGTCTTGGTTTGTGTCCGCAGCACAATGTATTGTTTGACCGTCTAACAGTCAAGGAGCATCTTGATTTTTTCATCAATCTGAAGGTATAACAATGCTCAATAACAATATTAATGATGATAAAGATGATAATTATAGTTCTGACAATGATGATGAGTGGTTACAATCGCGATTGAGATGGCAATAAAACTTACAGTGACGATAAAAGGAACATAAACAATGAGGAAGACCATGAAAATGCCAACAACAACAAATGTATTTTTTATATCTAAAAATATCATCTTTGTTTTTCAATAATGTGCTTTTGAAAGTTTAAAGGAATGTGAATTTTGATTATATTTTATTTAACATATCACAAATATATTTTGAACTTTGATAGGGCAAAAGTGGGAAAGAAGCTGATGCTGAGGTTAAATCCATGATACAAGATTTGCAACTAGTAGACAAGACAAACACAGCCTCTAGTTCGCTGTCAGGCGGCATGAAACGAAAATTATGGTTTGTGCTTTCTAGTTTTTCTGTAACCTATCCTATTCATCAAGAAGTACACTCTTCGTTTTCAATACTCTGATGTTATGGAAGTTCAAGTAAAACCAAAAATGTGGTTATCTTTTCCATTTATTCAGTGTAACACTTTGTTTAAGTATAGTTATGTGTAGAGATATATTCAGTAACCATAAAGCAATAATCGTGGCGTAGTACAAAAAATTACATATGTATGTGTAAAATCGACCTCACGCAAAGGTAATCTACGTAAGTAAAAAATAAACTTTGCTTCAAACAGATATGAGATTGGTTGTCAATATGCTTGCCTTTAAATCCCAGGTCCCATTTGGTTCAGTTCCTATCACAATAACATGATTATTTCTCACGAATAAAACAGTTTGGCGTAGCGATTTCCGTTCAGGTTGCGAAATTCGTTGTTGAGGGTTCGAACCATACGCTGACCATTCTCGGCCGGCCATGCTTAGTTACCCAGCTTGCACTGTTGACAGGCTGTGAAGTGGCTCAGGCTATGTTTCAGCTCCAGGTGCGAGTATTTCATGGCTTATAAATTAAATAAATATTGTGTGGCCGCCTCACATCAACATCAACAAAAACTTAACTCTCAACACCTTATAGTGAATCTAGAGAATCGTGTGTGTCTGTGTGTTTGTTTTGTAAATCTTGGAGTTTTAATCCCTCGCTGTACATTTTGCTCGGGTCCTTAAGCAAGGCACGTTATCTAAATTGCTTCCCTCCACCCAGGAGTATAAATGGGTACCTGGTGGGGTTGCCTGCTCCTGCTCGGTTTATTAGCCTGTGGACCCAATGACCAGGAGAAAGAAGAAGAAAAATAACAACAACAATAATAATAATAGGACTCAGTAGAGAGCATATCTCGGCCCACCACCAATCTCTTTCTATAAAACAATTCCTCAAAAATATTTTCCTACTATACAACCACCGACCAAAATGTAAAAAATTACACTAACATGGAAGTTTCATTGGCATAACATTCTGGCACGTTTTAATCTTATAGCTGATAAGCTAAATACATGCAATGTAATGGTGTTGAAATGGAAATATTATGGAAAAATGGGGATTTGGTTTTTATGGTCACAATAAAGCTGTATTAAAAATATTCCCAATAAGTTCCGAAAAAAGTAAAGTCGGTACATATAAAACACTGTACAATTTTTACTGAAATTGCACTAAATATTCACCATATTGCTATTGTTTCTGCCTACGGTAATTTGGTAAACTTATTTTTTAAATGGTCCTCATATCCACACCCTACATCGGATCGTGACCAAAATTGAAACATAAAACATGATTTCCATTTATCTATTTTCGAGATATTTTGGTCTGGGACCTTGTGGCCCTCAAATGCAGAGCCGAATTTGGATTGTCACCAGCACTTCATAATTTCTTACTTGTACCTTGGTTAAGCTTTCACAAAAGTTTCATTTATATCAGGTGATTAGTTTCTGAAGTATCTGGTCTGGGACGTTTTCCTATAAATGATCCTCATATGCACACCCTACTCCGGATGGTAACCAAAATTTAATCATTTCTTCATCGAAACAATGGCAAACTATTCTGGGTAGTGTCATTTAGAGGCATTGATTGTTTTTAGAGATATTTAGGTGTCGGACCCTAAGAATTTAAATGACCCTCAAATGCACGCCCAAATTTGGATCGTCATCAACACTTCATCATTTCTTCCTTGTATATTGCTTAAACTTTCACGAAAGTTTCATTTAGATATGTTTATTATTTTTTTGCAATATCTAGGTTGGGAAGTTTTTCTTTGAATGGTCCTCATATTCACACCCTACTCCGGATGGCGACCAAAATTTAATCACCTCATCCTTGGTGCATACCTGGCAATCGCTGATAACTTCCATTTAAGATCTGTGCAGGTGTTTTTTGAGATATTTTGAACACAAGAAACACGAACAACCTTAACAAGTTAAATGACTCCCAAGTTCACCCCAGAATCGGGATCGTGACCAACGCTTGATAATTTCTTCCTTGTAACTTGGTTAAGCTTTCACGAATGTTTCATTCATATCAGTTGATTACAGTAGTTCTTAAGATATCTTGTGTAGGAAGTTTGCTCTAAAATTTAAATAGCCCTCACATCCACACCCTACTCCGGACCGTCACCAAAATTTAATCATTTCTTCATTGGGTTATACCACTCCCTGTAATTTTCAGTTATGTCTGTGCAGCCGTTTTTGAGATATGTCGTTAAAAAAGAAAAAAACAAAAACAAGAAAAACCCACCAAAACACCAAAAGGTGACACACACACACACACACACAAACTTACACGACAGAAAAAATGTATCTCCTGGCGGAAATAATAATAATAGTAAAGGTGATTAGTTGTGTCGTATTTATGTATGTCTTTTATGTACCGTAACTGAACAAAGAAATAGATAGGCAATTAACCTTCAAAAATGTTGTTTGAATTGAATGATTTAAATTTATATATTTAGCTGTGCCATTGCTTTGATTGGCGGATCAGAGATTGTGATTTTGGATGAACCGACGTCAGGTATGGATCCCTATGCACGCCGAGCTACTTGGGATCTCTTGCTGAAGTACAAAGCCGGAAAGACCATGGTACTTACCACACATTTCATGTAAGTTTGATACTTTCCAACGTTTTCTTATAACAAAAAAACGTCTCACTAAAACATAATGCCTCAGCAGGAATATGGATCAATCAATCAATCAAATGTGTTGTGTGCCTAAAGAAAGAATAATAATAATAATAATAATAATAATAATAATAATAATAATAATAATAATAATAATGATAATGATAATGATAATGGTAATGGTAATGATAATGATAATAATAATAATAATAATAATAATAATAATAATAATAATAATAATAATAATAATAATAATAATAATAACAATATAATTCAATAGAAGGTGGTTAGCCTGTGAGGGACATTTGATTTTTCCAAAATATTGTTGGCATACTCGGGTGCGGCGTTCAGCGAAAACAGGGAGACCAGAGACTACAAGGGCCCAATTATAACTAACCCAGGGGAGAAAAATGCGAAGCGCTCTTTGTTGAATTTGTTCTATGGCTTTGGACTGAGCACCGGATATACAAGTACCCCAAACAGGGACAGCATACTCCATGACAGGGCGAATAATACTAACGTAAAATTGGGAAAGTTCTCTTACCCCCAGCCCTGCTCTACGTAGATGTTTTAGAAAAAATAAACGGGTATTACATTTAGCCAGTACGGGCTTCAATATGCAAATTCCAAGATAGATCGCAAGACAATATAACACCAAGGAGCTTCGTATGCGTCACACTGGATATTTGATTGCCGTTTATAACAAGTGGGGCAAACTCTGACTTTCTAACTTTACAGCTAAATCTCATCTCAACAGTCTTATTTGAGTTGATAACTGTATGGTTCAGAGTTGACAAGTGGGAAACGGTGTCGGCACTTGCTGGAGCTCACTATTCCTATCTCTGCCTATTCTCTCATATACCGTGGTGTCATCCATATATTTTACACACGACACCCCAGCAAAGAGATCATTGGCAAAGACAATGAACAGAATGGGCCCCAGCCAAGAGCCTTTCGGGACCCCTCCGTTTACAGTCACCCAAGAGGACAGAGCATTACCAAGTTTGATGGATTGCAGGTGAATGTGGTAATGGCCATCAAGGTTAAACAATGCAGAATTTAAAAGATGGCGGTATATTCAGAGAGCCTACAGGAGATATATCTGTGCCTAATCAGAAATTTCAAAATGTAAATGTGTGTGATTGTTTCAGGGATGAAGCGGACTTGCTAGGAGATCGTATAGCCATTATGGCACATGGCCAGCTACTTTGTAGTGGTAGCTCTCTCTTCCTCAAGAACCGATATGGAGTTGGATATCACATGACGCTAGTGAAGAACCAGGACTGCCAAGTAGATCTTCTGACAAAAACCATTCAAGAGTTTGTACCTGGCAGTTATCTGGAGTCAAATATTGGTGCAGAATTGACATACATACTTCCTGGAGAAAGCACCTCTATGTTCCAGAAATTGTTTGAACACCTTGAAGGTATGAATTGCTTAGCATTATATTTAAGTTATGCATTTCTTGCTACGAATACCAGGCCCTTTAAAGCCATACATGTTCACTATATGTATTAACAAATTATGGATCGATTACAGCTTATTAAGCCCTCCGTCCACACTAAAGTGCTGGCCTAGGCTTCCGCCAGCGAAATCCTCAGCGCCATAAAATGTCGGGAAATGATACAAATAAGAACCATCCGGATGATGTTATGGCCGTTATTCAGCCTAACTCAACTCATCACCGAACCGACGCGATCAAGTGATAGAACAGGATCGACAATCGATCTTATTCTTACAAATTTCCCGCATCTTCATCCTCAGCATTTAACAACTATTTTGTAAATATTTGTTGTACCTTGCAAGCTTATGTTCCCTATACTAATTCTGACTGACCCCTGTACAATTCTAATTCAGACACCTAATAATTTTGAATTTATAGATATTGACAATGATTTTTTTATTCTTCAGCAACTAAATTCATTAGATACTTCATTTGCTTCTGACTTAGATGGTTTGGATAGTAAACTTCTTAAATTAGCAGCGCCTGTTATAACACCCCATCTCACTTACCTTTCATTATGTCCCTTCGCTCTGGTCACTATTTAAGTAGGGCAAAGTCGTTCCCATCCATAAATCAGGCCCATTTTATGATCCATCTAATTACAGACCTATATCTGTGCTTCCCACATTTTCCAAACTTCTTGAAAGAGTCGTACACCACCAATTTACCGACTTCCTCTCCATGAACACCCTCCTTAACACTAAGCAATCCGGTTTCCGATCTGACCTTTCTACCCTCACTGCTATTACTAACTCCTATGACACTTGGCTCACAAACATAAATAATGGTCTCCTCACCGGCGTTGCATTCATCGACTTGATGAAGGCATTTATTTGGTTGACCACCAAATCCTCCTGCGTAAACTAACTTATTATGGCATCACTAACACTTCATTAAGATGGTTCAAGTCATTTCTTACTAACAAAACTCAACAAGTTTCCTTTAACAATACTCTTTCACAATCACTTACCATAACATCTGGTATCCCACAAGGTTCAAACCTAGGACCTTTACTTTTTAACCTATTTATCAATTACCTTCTCTCAGTAACTACGCACTCTGTCAGCGAAATGTATGCCGACGTCACCATTTTCACGTTTCTAACAAGTTCCTTCTCACTATAATTAGCAAACTAACATCTGACTTTCTTAAAACACCTCAACGTATAGCTAATAAACAACTTACCATCACTGTGAATAACCAAATGATTCGACAAGTAACTTCTCACAAACACCTAGGATTACTTATTGGCAATAAATAAAACATGGCAACCGCACATTCGTAAATTAGCATCTACCATCTCATACAAAGTATTGACACTTGCCAGAGCACGACCATTTATTGATCAACGCACATCACTTCTCATTTACAATACGCTAATCCTACCTCAAATAGATTACTACGCCTCCATCTGGGGTAATAGAAGCATCCAGAATGTCATCAAAATTCAGAAACTGCAAAATCGATCTCTTAATCACATAATTCTCAAAGTACATCCTCGCACATCCACTTCTGCACTTTTATTAACTTTGCATTTCACCTCATGACTGTCTTTCAACTAGTAAAATTCCAACTTGACTGCCTCGCGTTTAAATCTCTTAAAGAATTAGCACCACTATACTTATGCCGGCGACTGTCGTTTCCCCTCAAGGAAATATCACTACCCGTTCTTTCTCCCTCAATCATCTTTACGTTCCCAGCCGAAAATTAGAAATGTTAAATGCAGCTTCAGTTACATTGCTCCTACTCGTCTCAATTCACTATCATATTCGATGAAAAACACAAGGTCCTTGGCAATATTTAAAACTTGGTTCAAGTCCCTTCATCTTCTATTCCCATTGATTGTGCTTGGTACTCGCTTTCGCTCTATTGTTGTTCTCATTTTATCTTAATTACACTATATCCACTTGAATTTTTACTTCTATGATGTACTATAACTGACCTTTTTTTAACAATGTATATAAATCTGTTAATCTTGAGTTTTATGTAATTACGGCTTATTCCCTCTTGTCTGTATCGTTTTTGAGTTGTCAAAGTGGGCCCCTGCGTATCAGCTATGCTGGAAAGGGTCACCCACTTTAAATATTGTTGAAATAAATACATAAATAAAAATAAATGCAGCACATAGAAATACAATTTTTATGCAGTGACTGGACAAATAATTTTACTCTTACCCCTGTATTCTTAAAATGAACTTTAGTCGTAGTTCGAACTAAAACTTTAAAATTACATCATTTCGTATTTTTAATACGAACTTCGACTAGCACGCGAACCTCGACAAAAATGACACCTCCGCAGGCCGATTTATTTAGTCAGCCTATGGTCGGCTTAAACTGCCGACTTGAACTATATCTCCCACTAAAAACGTGCTTTTTGTAACTCACGATAAAAGTGAAACGAATAAAAACGATACGTAGGTCTGATATATCTTCGGTGTGTTAAACAAAATAGACATCAAGTTTAGCTTGCAAAAGGCACAATTAACATGTTTTGCTAGCCACATGCAATAGTAAATGATTTGCACGAAATCCCCTCGCGTTGCGATGACGTAGCTTAACCATAACAACACACATGGCGCCGCCCTCGCTCGGGTTATCCAAAGAAAGCCAATTTCCAGTGATTCTTCAAATTCTCTATAGATGTTAACGATTAATATAGTTATTATTACAGAAAGTTAAGTGAGTGATAATCTATTATGAATGATAAGGAAATATGTTTTTGAACGGCAGACGGCAGCTTAATGTTCATCTGCGTTACCGGATCTCTAAACTTTCGTCTGCTAATAAAATGAGCTCTTTTCATTGGTTAGTTTGATAGTCGTTGCCTGCCATCCGTCTTCAGCTGAACTAAAACTAGTACTTTTTTTGTCGTGGTTAGAATTTTGAGTACGTTGTTTATGAATACAAATTTAAGTTTAAGTTGTAACTAGGACTAAATATAGAGGTTCTAGAGGTTCGACTAAAGTTCGTTTTAAGAATACGGGTGTGTTACAAAGAGAGCTTACATAACATCTTAAAACCTAGACATACCTGTATGTAAAACTTTAGAGAGTGGACCAATGTTACACCTAAAACACCCGACCAATATAACACAATCGGGACTGGGGGCATACAAAACCTTCGTAAACAATAGGTGTGATACCTTACAGATGTAGCATCTTAAAATTGGGATCCACAGAACACTTTACAGACTAGACCAATTTAGATACATCTTAGACACTGGACCAACGTAAGGTTTAGAGAATGGACCGGTGTAACACTTTAAAATATTAGTTACAACAACACCTTAGGAGACTGGAGATTTGTAAAACCCAGGTAAAAACATTTTATAAAGACTGGATTTATGTAATGTATAACATTTTAGAAATTTTACTGTCATTGCTTTTGTAAATTTGTACTTCAGTTGATTGTATGTTTGACAACATGGCATGGTAAATCATGTTGTCCTAGTATAATGTTTCTTTTATTATTTTTGTTCAAGCTAAACGTACAAGCCTAGGTGTAGACAGCTTTGGTGTTTCAGTAACAACATTAGAAGAAGTATTTATGAAGGCTGGTGAAGCCGCAGAGGCTAAAGTAAATGGTGTTGATACCAATGAAGAGAATGGAGGAGCGTCTACTACAATGCAGCATATTCAAGAAGCAGGAGAGAAAGTAGACTTTAGACAACTGGAAACAAAAAGAGAAGGTATATCAATAACAAACTTCTACAATACCGTGAAAACCGTGAATACAGTAACTATAGTAAACAAAATATTCATCATTAATAATGTTTGTATTGATGTTCTTTTGAAATTGGTTTGCGTTTGTGTGGTTATAAGTAATAGTAATCGAACAAATATATATTATTGCAGACCTCCTTAGTGGCTGTGCTTTGAAAACACAGCAGTTTAAAGCAATGTTCATCAAGCGTTTTCTAAATAGTAAACGCGACAGAAAAGCAGTCATCACACAGTTTCTTCTTCCACTGCTTTTTGTCTTCTGCGGATTGCTGATCATTTCAGTTGGTGATGGAACTAGCAATGATCCTGAGTTAGAACTAAGTTTGTCAATGTTGACTGACGCTGAGGACAATGACCACAAGGCATACTATGCTAATTTTGTGCAGAATACTGTCCACCAAGATGTGTTTCAGGTTTGTGAAGCCAATTTATTGTACTTTTTATAGAGAATTTGTACATTTCTGTTTGTTAATCAAATTCTAGGCCTACAAATGTTTACAGAATGTTTTCAACTTATTCATTTCTTCTAATAAATCGAATTTGAGTCTTGCAGTATTTCAAACACCAGTTTTAATTACGTCAATACGGAAAAGCCCTATTTTCTGTATGCAAATAGACATAGCGTGTCTAGTTGTTGTTTGTATTAATATTCAATAATTTAGTAATACATTATTTTCTGATGATATTTTATAGGATCTTGAAAGCTATTTGAAAGCACTTGACATTAAACCATTGAATGTGGAAAGTAAAGTAACTCAAATAGAAACAGACAATACTGGGAAGGTTAAAGGTAAAGAGGTGCCTGTGAATGCACAATCATGTTGCCAGTACAACTTCTTCATTTTGAATGCAAGTTGTGCTTTATTGGTAAGTCAGTCACTTAATCATTGACCCGTCAATCAATCAATAATCTATCTATCGATCGATAAAGCAACCAATCAACAAAATCAATAAATAAAAAAATCAACCATCATCATAAATCATAAATTAATAAATTAATCATGCAGCAATCAATAATACAACTGATTAACTCATCAGTCAATCATCTAATCAGAAATCATTTTATCAATTGATTTAAAAAGACAAAGTAAAAATAAGTTTAGTTTACATATTGACAAGTTTATTATTTTCTTTTGTATGAACTCTAAGTTCATCAAATATCTTTAAAGTAAATTCTCAAGAATATGAATGTATATATTTTTTACAGCTTAAGTCTCAAAATGATATGTGTGATGAATATCCAGATTATGCCTACACAAACTGCAAGGAATGCATCAATGACACAGAGACGTAAGTATTTTTCTATTCACACATTTTCCTACTTGGAATGTCCGAGTGTACTACCACTGCTGGGTGCGTGCTACACTGTGCCTGCTCTGGTTCCGGGGCCAATCATGACCATGACGTTATGGTTATTTAAAAACAATTAATGACTTACCTTCTGCTTTTGGTGTGATTCTTTTAACTTTTCAAAATTTTATTAGTGATAATGGTGACGTCTGTCCAATTGATGCACAGACCAGTATTCTATCAGACCCCAACACTTACTTCCAGGAGTATGTGTTACAAGAGGACAAGGATGATACACCAGGTTTCTTCAATGAGTATGTGGCAGGTTTCACTGCCATAGACACTCCTTTTGATGCTCAGCAAACTGTTAGTGATTTGTATGGACCATATGGAAATGGCAATCAGAGTTCACAAGTAGGTTTTACATGATGTTGATTGATTGAATTCATTCAGGTTTAATAAAAACACTTTTAAATAGTAATATTGTATATAAATTCGTTCTATATTTGGAGGTTTCCTGAATAGTGGTTGGCCGAATTGTAAAAACAATAATTTCCCTGGATATGGTGCGTTCAAAAAGTTTTCAAAATGAGCGGTTCTACATTGAACATCTGATCTTTGTCTTTTTGAAGGTTGAAAACTTTTTTTTTAATGAATCAGCAATCTAAATGTTAAGTTGAATGTTTTGAGGGTTTTTTTAACATTATATTTAAAATTATTTCGATCTTTTTCTTCTAATCTCAGTTCAATGCGTCATTTGTTAAGAAACTACAAAGCACTGATTTGTATGACCTTGCATTGAATGTCACTAACGGGACATTGGTGACAGCTTGGTACAGCAATGAGGTGAGCTTCTAGATGTTTGTATTAAGGTAGTTTGTACTTATAATAGGCTTTGTTGAAACAAGTGTGAATTACTCGCCACATCTTCCAATCTTTTTGGAAATGTGATGTAGAAATAGCAGAAGGACAATATAATGTAAAAAATATGAGAATTACAATGTAAAACATGTACGGTAATAATTCAAGCACTTCATCGATTTTTAAAATGTGTAAAACAACAGGTTTCAAACTCTTCATCCTAATGCTAAGTCAGATATTTTATGTTAGAAAAATAACAATATTTAAAAGACTTTTATCATGGGAACTCTCCCAAATTGAAAGTGTGTTAAGATTACAAAGCAAAATTATATAAAATTGTAACAAAATATCGCATTAACCTTACAAAACATACAGTAATATAGTTAAATTAAATAAAACAATCATAAAATACTTGCGTGTATATAGAGTCTATATTTAATACAAAACTTATAACAATAATCATTGTTTATTGCCTAGTGGAAGACTAATATGTCAACTTAAATTTTTTATTTGGTTTATAATATTATTGTATTGTATTATATATTTATATTTTAGCATGAACAACTATATTTGTATAAATTGTTACAATTTCAGGCAATCCACACTACTGCGGAAGTTCTTAACGCAATTTCCAACGTGATGCTCATGTCTGTTACAAATTCAAGTTACAGCATTAAGGCCTTCAACTACCCACTGCCCAAAAGCGCAGATACCCTGGTAATAAACTACCTAGTTCTTATTTCTCCTTCTTTTAAGCCTAAGGCATTCAGAGGTGCCATAACAAACTCAACCTCTTCTCTCTATTTTTCCTTTACTTGGAGTCTTCATAGACTATTGGTTCGCAGAGCATATCATTTCTATTCATGAATTTTCCCATACATTATATTCTAAAGAAAAATAAATAACGAACTTTTAAGAAAATAAATGTGTCCATACATTATATTCTAAAGAAAAATTAATAACTAACTTTTAAGAAAATAAATTCATTCTTTCTCTTAGTGCCTATTAATTGTTTTGTTGAAATTGTTTAAAAAAATCAAATTTTGTTTTTGTTAGGCTGAAGATGCAACGTCTAATGAAGACACTTTTGGAATGGCCATATTAGTAGTTTTTGCCATGGCTTTCTTGACTGCTAGTTTTATAGGTTTTATTGTCACAGAAAAAGAAAATAAGGTAAGGTAACTTAATTAAAATTGAACTAAAATTGGGCAGTCATTGCGTCGTACGAACAATCGAACTCAGTCCCATGAGTTCGGTTGCAGTCTGAATGGATTGTCATAAAAACGATTAGTTGCGCGCTAGTCGTGGCGTTGGCTTAATAGACTCGAGTCGTCTGACGGCGACCGTAGGGAGCCGTAAAACCCCAGCTTGAGTAAAAGCATTTTTAAGCGATGATTTTGAGACTTCCATTAACAGCATTGGTCTGGTGTTGTGTTAGGTAAAGCCGGGCACAGTGGGTCGTAAAAAGATGCGTACTATCGTCCTTTAACACATTTTGTATCTATTGATTTGGTGACAATCTGAGAGATTCATTATTAAAAATGATCTGTTATTTGTACGTTGGTGCTTTACACCGCGTTTAAACCAAGTGTGTACTTGGCTTCAGAGACACTGAACATTTTGTCAGCCGACAGTCGTCCAATGGTTGGCGCCATGCTAAAGCTATTTATTGAGTAATCCAAACACTGTCTATTGTACAGACGGTCTGGAATCAAAGCTTTAATAATAGCTCCTGTTATATTTACAAACTAAATTGGTTGACTGCATGACACAATACTTTGAAGTTCAAATAAAAAACATAACACGTAGAACACATGATAATAATTTTCCCTATTGCTATCCGCTCTTTGGAACAGATTTGAGAACTTTAGGTTGAGGTTGTAACAGTAATTATTCTACTGAACAACATTTCAAAACACATCGTCCACTGTTCTTACACAATACAACAGTTATTAAAAACATCATTAAAATGTATTTAATTCTAACGGTCATAAGGAAAATACCATCTGCAAAAAGTCCAAACATTATTAAAATACACAGTTTGATTGTGATTTTAATGGTATTTTTTAGGCAAAGCATCTGCAGTTTGTAAGTGGAGTCGACACGTTGAGTTACTGGGGAGCTACATTTGTCTGGGACATGTGTAACTACACCATCGTCTACGTCATCATTATCATTATTTTTGCTGCTTATGATCTGGATGCATTTGGAGGGGAAAATCTTGGCACCGTTGCATTGATCTTCGTAGGGTTTTATATATACTTTTATAAACCATATATTTATTGCTGGTGAAGTCTGCATTCCAATTTAGCCCTCATAGTATGGGGTTTAAAAAATAATCATGATTATAAAACTACATATCTACGTAAATATTACTGATTGATGATTATAAATACAAATATAATATGTCAATCAAAATGACAATAGATATCATAATGCTGAATAAAAAATATTAAATACTAATATATTACCGATTTTTAAACCAGTACGGTAGTCAATATAAGCTTTTAATATAGGTTTGAGGTATTATCAATAAAGTATTACATTTTGACCAAAATTATATCTTGTAATCTTGAAACTAACTACAGATTAAAAGTAATCATTGAAAATATCATTTGCAGTTCCTTTATGGTTGGATGTCGATACCTTTTACCTACACCCTCTCCTTCATGTTTAAGACGCCTGTGACGGCTACAGCTCTTACAACATTTCTGCTTGCATTTGTCAGCATGGTACGTATATTTTTTCCAAATCATTTTCTCATCTTGTATTTATTATATTCTTGATATCACAGCAAATTACCGTGTGGAAATAATTATTTTTATATTTTTGGTCATTTTTATCGATTCAACCATTAGGTATTTTTTGTCTGCTTGTGGGCTGTATTTCATTTTTATTTTTAATTCATAATGTTGTGGTTTTTATGCAGATTACAGTTATAGCAATTTTTATCTTGGAATTATTGGGAGAAAAAATATCTGATGATTTGGACTATGCTTTTAGCATCATTCCAACACATTGTTTAGGCCGAGCGCTCATGGTACTTTCAAATAATGACGCACTGAGGCGATTCTGCACCGCTACTGAACAGTAAGTATCATGATTATCTTTATACCTCTTATCATTTATTGATAGGTACAAACACATTTCTCTCATTAACTATTCTAAGCACTACAGGACACTTGCCTGTGGAGTTAGCTGCAGCCCATGTAAATAGACATGTAACTGGGTATACAAATTTTCTGAAAGAAACATTTTAATATGGTAAACACGGCAGATCATATTGGATATATTTTCACTATATGTATTTTTCTGTAGAGATAAGATATCATGTGGAATGAAGGAAATCATATACCAAGAGAACAATTTAGCTTGGGATAGACCAGGTGTCGGTATATACTGCTTGTATATGGCTGCAGCTGGCCTGGTCTTTATAATCCTGACACTGCTCATCGAGGTATGTTTATCCACTAAATTATTTGCGATTAATCCACAGTTGTTTCACTTGTGTAGCAACGATATTGGGTCTTAATTAGCTCAACACGACTGTACTGATATTCCCACCGGCCAAATGCATTCTGTAGAAATGACTATCATCAATGATTTTGTTTTATTCATCTACATCAGTTACTAACAGACGTTTTTCTTGTTTGTAGGTTAACTTTTTCATTCCAGCTCGCTCAGCATCGTACCTGAAGGGCCATGTTCCAAATCCAGATGTAAGTTGCTACTGATACAATCTTATCTGATGATCTATATTCATATACCAAGCACTTTTTTCAATATTGTGTTTGGTTCTAGTAAAGTTAAGCAAGATTTAGGACGTTAAGATTGATAGCACCATTACTTTTAGTGATATCCAGTGTGCAAATAATATGTAGGCCAGACACAGATATAGGAAGGAATGCATAGAGGGAGTTTAAGATAATATCGACATTAACTTTATCAAAAAACTTTATTTTAGAGCAGATTATTGAAATTAATACTTTTGTATGGTGTTAACTAAAATGGCTCTACTGTTTTGAACATTCAAACGAACTGCATTTCTATTTGTTTTTAATGATCTCTGTTTTTTGACTGCAAAAGGAAATAAATGTACGTATTTTTGAATTATTAATACAAGTGCCATTTACTATTCCACAGTTGCCCATACTTTAATATAATAAGTTGTTGATTTACTAGAATATGTTTTTTATAGGAGGAAGATGTTGCACTGGAGAGGGAGAAAGTTCTTGGTCTAAATTCTCAAAACGATGAATCAGCTGTGTTACTAAAGAATCTCTCTAAGGTACCTTTATACATTTTTTTTTGTATTTGAACTATTATTTTGTATAGGTTATCATTTTCCTTGGTTGTTTATTTAAACTGTCACTTAATGACTTTTAAGGCCAACTCAGACAGCGTCGGCCGACGCAGCCCGACCCGATTTATCGTCGGGGACAGTCTTAAGCCGTCGTGAGAAATATTAAACACGTTTAATATTCTACTACGCGACTGCCCCCGACGCACACTATCGCGTCTGCGTTCAACTCACACAGACCCGACGCGACAACAAATCGCGTCGGTCTGCGTCGGGCGACGCTGTCTGAGTTGGCCTTTAAACATTTCAGTCTTTCGTTAAATATCATGATAGGCCAACTGAAATATTCCTGTCAAACTCTAATAGTCTAACATTGTATTAAATTGATATTTTTACGTGATTTAATGGGAATTTAAACAATGTAATTTTCTTGATATTGTATCTTTATCTGATAGTAATATAGAGTATTCATTTTACCAGGTGTATCGAAAAAAGCCGACCCCCGCTGTAGACCAACTTTGCCTGAGCATACCCAAGGGGCAGTGTTTTGGTCTCCTTGGTGTTAATGGTTTGTATTTTAATGATCTTTATAATATTATCTTATATTTTACGCAGTGACTATAACAATAACAAATGTCTAGTTGTTTTAAGATTTGATTTGTGTCAAGGAAATTCATGTTTTTTTCTCAATATGTTGATTTTTCATAATTGTGAATGTTTTCTATGATAACATTAGTATTGCCTGGATTAGTTTATTTAGTAACTAATGTACTATTTGTGCGACAGACTAATAAACATTAATTAAACATACTAGGTTTAATATTTTGATTTAATTTTTAGTTGGAAGTTCTTCACCCTCTACTTCTTGATGCATAACTAAATCATTACTTTTTTCTTCTGCATAGACCATTACATTTTAAAAGTTGTTGTATTGAAATAGTATATCATCGTTTTTCGATTTATGTCTTTATTGAACCTTGTTTGAGTTTTATAATTGAGCAATTAAGTGTTCTGTTGTGATATTTTCCATTTTTTGATCGTATGTGTATAATCTTTAATGTTTATTGTATTACTCTAGGTGCTGGAAAAACCACAACATTTGGCATGTTAACGGGAGACCTGGGAATCACAGCAGGGACTGCTTACATGGATGGATATGACATCCAGACACAGAGACGATTGGTCAGTTTTATTTCTATATTTTGCACCTATAATCTTGTGTCTTTACAATAAACACTAGTCAATTCTGAAAGACAGCTGATTCTTTTCTTCAATTACGAATCATAACACAGGAGTTTCAATTGCAGGATAGCGGCATCATAACATAATAATAATTTTTATCTATTAAGCTATTATAAAATTAATGGAATTCGATTCAATATTTATTTGCTCCAAAAGCCATTATCCGCCATACAAAAATAGCTCGGGATGTCTATAATTAGCTTGAGCTCTTTTAGGAAGTATACTTTTATTTCATATATATATAGACTCAGCAGTGTATTCTATTGCCTTCTTGTCTTTTAGGTTCAACAAAGAATTGGCTACTGTCCACAGGTAATACTTTTTTTATTGATCATCATATCAATAACTTCGTTAATTAAAACAAGTAAAATCAATTAGTTCATGTAAATATATTTTTTATCGTCTCTTGCATATTTTGAGAAAACTTTTTTTTTACAATGTTCAGAATTTTTCTTCTCTGTATTTTTGTTGATGCATATATATATTATTTTTAATGGCCAGAGTAGCGTAAATAAATTTGAAATTAAATTTAAATGAAAGTAATAATTTATTTAAAACACGTTCATTTATCATTATTTTCTTTATAGTTTGATGCATTAATTGAACGCTTGACGGGCCGTGAAGTGTTGAGTATGTATGCTCGTTTGCGGGGTATTCCAAGCCACCAGATTGACGCTGTAGTAGAAACTACCGTCACACACTTGTCGCTATCAAATTGGGCGGATAAGCTTTGTGGTGATTACAGGTAGGCCAACGCTGAATAATTGACGCGTAAAACTTAATTTATATAATAACTTCATATATAGTCTATGTTTTAATTTATATTTTATTTCATCTCACATCCTACACTTAATGAGATGAGAAACATGTGCGATGTTAGAATCATAGGACACATATATGTGTTTTCATTAAATTGGGTCATGTAAGATGGCCAGACTACATAACATCAGATAGTAACATTTGGAATATCACCTTCAGATGGTGGCATATGAGTGGCCGGCATATGATGGGCACATGTACTGTGGCGTTAGTGTTAAGCTCGGTTTCCATATAATCGCTCACTCTATCGGCAACAGTCGCCGACAGACGTCGGGAACGTTGAGCCTAGTTCATCTTTGCCGATTGCGTTGCTGACAAATCAGAGTGCATTGCTAGCTGCCCTGACGCAATCGAGAAGGCATTCAGATTCGTCTGGAACGCAATTGGCCAAGTTAAACCAGGTTCAGCCTTCCCGACAACTGTTGGTGACTGTCCCCGATAGGGTGAGCGACCCTATGGAAACCGAGCTTGAAATGAGGTGATGCGTGGCTTAAAGCATCATTATATGGATGGGAAACACGTGTGGTCTCAGCTTCAGATAAGGACATGTGTGGTACTATTAATATGAGATAGGGACACATCCAATGGGATATATGGTGTTATCATCAAATTGGAACATGTGACGTGCTCAGATGGGAACATTTGTGTTATAAAATATATAGATAAAATCAGTTATTTTTTAACTGCATTTCCATTTTTTATTTTCAATGTTGACAGTGGTGGTAACAAGAGAAAACTTAGCACAGGCATAGCATTAGTTGGAAACCCTCCAATTATGTTCTTGGTAAGTTGTTCTGACAGACTAAAATTATGGTTAATCTTGTCTAATACAGAAAAACTAGCTGACTTCAGTGTAACATATTAATTTTTTTTTTTAACTTATTTATTCCAATTCCAAATAATACACAAAAACAAACATACCGGTAACAACGTCGACGAAGCGGCAACATAACAATTTGATTAATTAATAAAAGAAAAAGAAATTTATTCAAAATTTATAACATATATTAATTAGCTATCCTCTTATTCAAATTTTGTTTAAATTCTCATTTTAGGATGAACCTACATCGGGAATGGATCCAACTGCCCGACGCTATCTATGGAATGCTCTAACATCCATCATGAAGGGTGGCCGTTCTATCGTGCTCACATCACATAGGTAATATACACTTGCGAGAGAGAGATGGTAGGGTAGTGAAGGAATAAGAAATTTTGTTTTAAAACACAAGTCCTCATCCTGGTAGAACCCATAGAGATCCCTCTTCTTTCCTTGACTAGACAAGCAAACAATCCTAAGCACTATACAATGGGTTTAGCAGGCTTATAAACATTAACAACTATAAATGTTTAGAATACTGAAAGTTTGTTCTGCAGTCTAATAGCGATATGGTGTTAAGGAATAATAATATTCTCCACTTAGTCTTTAATGTTTAATCTCAATATATAATGCTTATCTTCAATCTCTACGTGGTTGACTATTGTTATATACTGTACCTATCATGTCAAAAAGTACATCCTCATGGAAAAACCAAGGATGCCACGTTAGATAGGAGGATGATGTAATTGGAATATATGTGATCTTGCAGTAGATACAGGAGCTATAGAAGTTATATTATTTAATAAATACAGTTCTATCAGATTGATAGAAAAACATGGTTTCCATCAGAAATCGAACACCATTTTTTGGTTCTATGACAAAATCTCTTAGTATCACGTTAGTGCTGTGTCAGTGTAAGTGATAGATGATAACGTTAAACTATTATTTGAGAATTTTATGTATCACCTGAATTTTGTATGAATCAAAATAAATTCCACATTTCTTGTAAAACGTGAAATAATAGTTGATCTGGTTTTGTCTTTGGATAGTATGGAAGAATGTGAGGTGTTGTGTACTCGTCTAGCCATCATGGTGAATGGACAATTCAAGTGCCTTGGCAGTACTCAGCACCTGAAGAGCAGGTAATCAATTTTCAGTCCTTTAAAATATTCTATCTTTGTTGAGCAAATTGAATACAAAATATTAATATTATATATGAATTGTAGTCATTTTGAATTTGATGTGTCAATTTTTGAATACTTACCAGGCTGGATAAACTGATATTTAACAGTTTATTATAAACTTACTTTGAAAATAATGAAATCGCCTAGCACTTGCCTATTATAGCGCAATAAACGTTCCTTATTGGGCCTCAATTTCCCTTGAGAACCTCAATCTTGGTTGGTTATCAAGGGTAAATATCTCATATATAGACTACAATTATCACTAATGATTTGTGTAATTTTCCATAGATACGGTAAGGGTTACACAATGCTTATCAAAATGGAGGAAAATTTCCAAACAGGGGGCCTCAAACAATTTGTAAATGACCAGTTTCCAGGATCTGTCCTTTTGGAGGAACACCAGGTGAGTGTTGGTATCATAGTCACGTGGCAAAGTTACATTAAACATAACATTAGAGAGCACAAGTTGTTAACGAATGAATTACATAACTGTCGTTACGATAGCTACATGGAAGAGTCAAATGCCATCAACATAAAAGAGTTACGTAAGATAGCTCCATATGAGAGTTAGAGTTACACTAGATAGTTTTGTTATGGTTTTTAGACAGATAGTATAACTATACACAGGTGTTAGTATTAGATGCAGTGTAAGCTTATGTGATGTAAGATGTGTTTTATACCACAGGGTGTGTTACAATACCAGGTAGAAAACAGTAACCTTAGCTGGTCTTACATCTTTGGAACTTTGGAGAACAACAAGCAGATGTTGAAGATTGAAGACTACAGCGTCAGTCAGACAACCTTAGAACAGGTTAGAATATATATTTTCGAGCCCTTTTTACAGTGATCTATTTGTTATTAATGGGAAACTGGCATTTTTAACACTTGATAACGTCTTCATCAATTAACACTTTATACACGTTGCTCTTTAAAGCAAATCTATTGAACATTTGAATAATAGACCTTTCCGGAGTGTCAATCAAACCTAACAAATGACTAAAGCGCTAGGAATACGCGCGCGTCTCACAAACGCACGTGTTCGCGTATGTTTTAACACGGTCGCCTTGTGGGACCTTAGCAACAATATCCAAGGGGCGAGGCTTAGCGGAAAGGTCCATTATGCTTCTGATCATTAAACTTGAATAAACACTGAACATTTTACTATTGAACATTTTACTATTAAACACATATATAACCATAACTATTTGACACATGTCTATATGACGCTTGACACTTTGATATAATTAAATATAAGACACTAATGTAACTACTCAGTATAATTTAACATGTCACTAATATACATCTCTCTTTGAACACATCTTTTTTAAACTTGTGTTTCTTAAGGTTTTCATTAACTTTGCAAAGGAGCAACATGATGAAACGGGTCATGCCAGACGCATGAGTAAAAAGAACAAAACAGAATACATAGAAAGACCAGCAACTGGAGCCAGTCTTGGTAGGAATTCTTTGAGACGAAGCTTACGTGGAGTACAATCACCAACTCCACAATCACCAACTCAGCAATCACCCACTCTGGTATCCGAAAACCCACCACCACCTTATAACCAAGCGCCACAGTATACTGAAGCTTATGAGGTTTAAATATGTTTATTATTGTACTTCATAACGTAGTCCTACGAAAACAGATTTATATCGTAAATGAAGTGGTAGGGAATAGTGGTCAGAATCAGATTAATTTGTCCTACCAAGAAATAAAGTAAATGTTTAAATACTTAAAAACAAATTTAAATCCAAAGTAACGGTACTGTATCTACATTTGTTTATTCCTCACAAAATACATTAAACATTTAGATTTTAATCTGAAAATTAAAATAATATATCATACACACGTGTGATTCTGGACAGGTTCAATTGAAGACAAATAAATCAGCATCTATGTCAATGAACAAGCAAAAATGCAAAGCAAAATCCAATATATATACTGTCTCTTATACACATCTTAACTGTCGTTACTGTGTGTGTGTGTTACATTTTAAAAAGCTAATTTGACAAAAAATCATGTTGTTCTGGTTTCAAAAATCGTTTTCTAAAGATTTGGTTTAAATTACATAATATTAATGTTTCCCATAATTAATTGCTTTAGGTGCACTTACATCAGCGTATGACAATGTAGAACGTCAGTTTAATGTTATACAAACATTCGTATGGCTTATACTATTGTTTGTATATATAGGGTTTTATAGGGTTATTATTTGACCAAAATATTTCAATATTCAAAAATGCAGGCTGTATGGTTCTTTACTTGATATAAAAATTGCAGGTCGTCAGTCAGTAGTTTAATTTACTATAAAGCAAATTTGTAGATATCATCTTGTGTAAATTTCAAGTTCATACTTTAAACGTAATATTGTTTTTATAAACATGTGTATACATTTTGTTTACAAACATGTACCTTGCTTTATTTACTGTTTTAGGCTAAAGTTAAATTCGGCCTGTATCTTTTAAACTCGAACACGAAAGTGCAATTTGTATTGAGGGAAATGGTAAACGTTATTTTTCATATACTTATTTATTTTTTTTAATTCTGACCATCATAATGAACAATTTTATTTATTCCAAATTTTGCTACATTATATTTTAATAAGGTTTTTAAATGTTGAAAATAATTATTACTATGGCATATTATTTAAAAATAATTATTGAAATTTAATTTTCTGGACAAAGTTTATTTATATGCTATATATATTTTATACAAACTAAATGATTGTCTGGAAAGCTGGTGTAGTCCTACATCAGTACAGTAGTAATTACCTAACATACTTTACATACATCTGGACAATAACATTTAATATTTAAATTGCCTCATCTGGTATTAGCTTTACTATGGCAAAACAACAATTTTCGTCACCAATTAGCAGGTATATAAATACTAATATTCTTTTATTTTTACGACTATTAAAATAAGTAGCACTGATTCAAGTTAAAGATGTTACAAAGACAGTCTGTTGAAATAAAACACATTTCTTTTCACTAAATATAGGTTTACTTCTTATAAACAAATATATTTGATATAAATTGTTATAACCTGCTTCAATACCTTCCTTCATTATAAATATATAAAAGGTCAACCAAAAACATGAGTATCCTATAATACATTATAAGTTAATCGTGACGTCATCACTGCAAATCCCAATATTATATGTCTATCCTACAGTGCACTATTTTTCATAAGTGCACTGTTGGCTTCGTTTTTGTAGCTTCTGTGATTCATACGAACGAACGAGCGAATGAACTCTTGCTTGATCTTTTTTCGGTTCGTGTGCAAAAGGTGAAAACAACTTGTACAGTATGTATCACGCACCGCGATGAATTGTAGGCTAGTGTTTCCACACCTACAACCACAGCGCGCGTCTGCAGAAAGAGAAGGTATATACACTCGTCCAATCGTCGTTTGAATTGTACAATTAAAAAAAACTACTTTCATAAAACAAGGTTGATGAGAACCCAAGAAAGGTTACTTCAAATTCAGTATTAAGTATGACAAATTAAGGAATCAATGGACCCAAATAAACTAAAGAAATTGAATTTAATTCAATTTCAATTTAATTCAATTCAATTCAAAAGTAATATATTCCAAATCAAATAACATAAAACAGTACAAATTCAAATGCATCAAATGGAATGAGATCGAATAGGACAACCACAAACATGCAAAACACAGCTTTAAACTGTGGTGCCCTTTATATAAAATAAATTAAAAAATAAATACCGTGATCAATCAAATCAATTAATCAAATAATTTTCTACTCATTAAGCAACTGATTAGCTAATCAATTAATCAATAGGTAATTTAGTAAATAAATAAATAAAATAAAGTGTAATAATATTAATACATGAAATTAATGTCATCTTACGGTACTGTAAATATATAATTATAAATTAGGTAATTAATAATATAATAGTAAAACATTCGCAAATACTAGATTTTTTATACAAACGAGGCCTGTTTGATTATATTTATATTTTTAGATAAATACATTATCATAACATAATATAACAATTCTTTTCAAGTAATTCATTATTAAATAATTCAGTCAAAATCAAAACAGCTAATTTCATTTTTTTTTAATAATTATATATTAAAACACACATACAATTGTACACGCACTAACAAAATAAGAGGAATCAATCAAAACGAATTATTTAGAGACAAAATATTATTTTTACTAATAAAACATTAAAGTAGGAAAATTCGGGATATATTTAAACAATTTTAACGTATATATATCTTAATCAGTTTATAGAGACTTAAGTTTCTTTAAAAACAATGCAGCAATTTTTTTGACATTTATAGTTTTTACATTGTAACATTCAAAATATGTAATATCAAGATTTCTTTTGAATAGGGAAACGTTTGCACATGTCTGAGATCACTGTGTAGGTTATTCCACACCTTTGTCCCTGTATACGAAAAGCTTTGTCGGCCAACTTTAGTATTTTTGAAATCAATAACAAAGTCATATTTACTTCGTGTATTATGACTATGATATGAGCCAAAGGTACGGAAGAACAGGTCGAATGATCTAGGTAATTTGTCTTTATTGTAAAGAAACATTAAACTTGCTACATTTTTTTCATATAGATCAAATACGTTTAATGTTTTAGTTTTAACAAAAAGCGAAATAGAAGGATGTAAATAGTGGACGTTACATATGATTCGAAGGGCCTTTTTCTGTAGTATATGAAGTTTATTGAAATTTGCGATGCTCCCAGTGCCCTATACAGTGAGATAGTGGGAAGGATAAGTGACTTATAAATAATTAGTAGTATATCATATGGCAGTACATTTTTTAGAAGGTTCATTACTCCAATAATTGCGGAGATCAAACTTGAGATTACATTTGTATGGTGTGTAAAATTTAATTGCTCATCAAGAGTGATACCTAGAAATTTTACATGGAGGACTCTTTCAATAATATCTTGATCAATTTTGAGTTGAACATGGGATGTATCAATAGTGCTGTTTCTACCACTAAATACCATGAATTTTGTCTTATTAGTGTTTGTGGTAAGTTTATTTGCCTTAATCCATAGGTTTACCTGATTTAGCTCATTATTCATTACATCAATAGCGTCATTTATATCGCTTTTATGTGTTTTACGAATTAGAATATTCTAGACCTATTTCAAAGACCCAGCAGGAGTGGCGCCAGTGGGGAGGGGGACACGGGGGCCAGGGCCCCGTCGGGAAGAGCTTCCCCATCCCCCCCCCACCCCGTCGGGGAGGAAAAGCACAATTCGTCGGGGAGAAAAAAAATTTACATGTATTTTCTACATATTAATAGACTTTAAAATCAATTAAATAAGCCTTTGAAACCTAAATTGTCAAAACTTTCGGCCCCAGGACCACTTTCGAAACCTTTTAATAGAAGTTCGACCACGCCCACTTTGCTTTCGTCGGGGAAATCTGATCCCTCGTCGGGGCCTGCCCCCCCCCCCTCGTCGGGAAAATCCTGGTGCCACCCCTGAGACGCAGGAACTAAATTAGATGCAGGCCGAGCATGAGGCAGAAGGCTTAGATCATAGCCTAGCACAGAGGATTTTACATGTCTGCACCGAACAAATAATCATTACTGTATTCTCTCAAGTGCTTTAAGAAATGTTTATTTTCATTACTAATTGCTTACATTTGAATTAATGCCAAATGGTTGTGACATACAATTTGTGTTTGCATGTTAAGAAGTGGAAGCTTGGTTTAATATGTCATGGTTTTGGGTCATACAAAGACTAAGTTTAGAGAATTGGCTCTATTGGTTTAATTCTAAATAAGGTCACTACTATTATAATGGTATACCGTAAAACCTCGAATAGAAGCCCAATGCGCTTAATCTTGAGAAGAAGCCCATCTTGAATTGAAGCCTCATCTTTAGTTTACAAAATGTAGCCTCGAAAAGAAGACCCAGATAGCATGGGCTTCTTTCTAAGTAGTAGAGTATATACACTGTACATGGGATACATGAATTTCAAAGCAACAAAATGAATTTTAAGAACGCTTGCCCAGGGCTTCTATCCGAGGTTTAATATATATATATATATACCTTCTATCCGAGGTATACTAAATCACAGTTAGCATACATTGTAATCTTTAACGTGTCATATTTTATCATTATCGCTGTGCTGTGAGCTTTTGTATTTTATTAGTAAGCCCAAGTATGGTTACAAATGCAGTAGATAAAATATGCCTACAGTATCAATAAAATATGTTTGTTATGGAATGTGCTCTTGTTTGGTTCCATTGACGAATTGTCTATAAAAGTCATTACGTTATGTATCAACCTGGGATCCAGTCAAGTCGCCCCCTTGTAAAGTCGTCCCCTACAAAGTCGCCCCCTTGTCAAGTCACCCCCTAACCAAGGGGCCCCCGTCAAGTCTCCCCCTAGCAAAGTCGCCCCCTAAGCAAGTCTCCCCCTTCACTAATATTGATTATTATTATTATTATTAACTAACCTTTTATTATTATTATTATTATTATTATTATTATTATTATTATTATTAATATTAACTAACCTTTGAAACTTATTATGAACTTATCTATGCCTAGGAG